TCCATCCATCCATCCACCTACTTATCCATGCATGCAATATATCCCTGTCTTCATCAATCCTTTTCCCTTTTGTCTTTCATTTTTCCTCCATTGACTAATGTCTTACGTTGTCGTAGGAGGAGCAGCATCAGCCTTCACATTGGTAGCCATCGCCATCGAAAGGTATTTTGCGGTTTCTAATCCCGAAAGGAGTGRAGTGAGCTCGCGCCGTGTTAAAGGTATTATCATTGGCTCTTGGATATACGCAATAGCTTTTAATCTGCCTTTATTCTTCGTTATCGAATACGAAAAATTATCGAACGATTTCCGATGCCCCGAGAAATGGCCGAAGGAGATTTACGGAAAAATCTACACCATCGGARCATTTTTTATTTTAGGTGTTATTCCAATCGGAATGATGGCGATRTTCTACTCGCTTACTATTCGAGCTCTGTGGAAAAATGGTTTTCCAGCAACAGCGCAATCTGACCTGGCGATCGTGCGGCAAAGAAAAAAAGCGACAAAGATGATGTTCGTCGTAAGCGTTCTGTACACCATCTGCTGGTTGCCAAACTTGATACTCTACATGTTATCGATGTATAAGCCATCTTTGTACACATACTTCTCTRCGTCCTATRTTGTCAGTGTTGTACTGGTTTGCGCAAACTCCACCATGAATCCCTTCGTGTATACCCTACACAGTTCAAGGTTTAGAGACGARTTGAAGAGCATTATGTGCTGCATTAGACACGGTCATGTTGACTTTCTTCGATCGCTTTGAAAMGCTATGAAAATATCAGTCAAACTTCTTGCTGGTCGATACTTTACACTTGGACACAAATGGCGGACATGTTGGATTTTGACTTAAATCAAGGATATGCCCGTGTAGGGAAGGCATCCAATCAGACGTTGCGCAACTTGTAACATTTTTATCTAGCCAATCAGAATCTGTATCAGTCATTGATATCAATCTCTTATTCAATCAGATGTTGCGCAACTATGTAACATTTGTATCTAGCCAATCAGAGTGTGCGTTAGTCATTAATATCAATACCTTATCCAAT